CAAAGTGTGTGACCCGTATAGGCACTTATAAAGCTGGCCATAGTATTGGTTCTGCACCAATACTATAAGCAATAAGCGGTATCTAGCAACACATTATTGCCCCCAGATTATAAGTTAAGACGTTTGCACCGTCAAAACCTTTCCACGACTCAGACTCTGTGTAACTGTATCCCTTTGTCTTAATGTCTAAACTTAATGCAAGGGATTAATAAAATCCAGCTTGTATCCATTAAGTCATTCACTGATTTATCAAGTCTGACTGATAGGAACAGACGTCATAAAAACATCTCAGCATGACCATGCAATTTCCTCAATCATAACTTATCAGTGGGCCCCATAAGACATTAATCTCTTAAAAAGAGTAGTGACAAATCCTATGTACGTAATCTACGTTTCTGAATATGCGCTGCGGCATACCCAAAACAAAGCCTCTATACCATCCTTATTTCATATGGCTTAGGACAATGCATCAAAGTATGCGGGTTCACATATGCAGAAAACGTAATACTTCAAGTCGAAGGATAGTTACACCCGTGGTCGCGCTAAAGATGCTTAGAGCATGAACTAAAAGTTCAAGCAACATCTTTAGGATGGGTCAGTCCGGCATCCTATTATCTCTAGATAATATCTGCCCATGTGCGGATGCGAACACACCGTCATTGACTATGAGAACACTATCTGATAAACATCTTTTAAATATAAATCTAGGAATATAATATTTGTTTACATTAGCATGAGATGTGTAAACATATTATACCTGTCTATACATGATAGAATAACGATAAACAGTTGGCCAGGGACCGTGGCTTGCCTTGCCCTTTGCCGGCGTCGGAGGACTGGGCCGATTGGTCAGCAAGCTTTGTCCTACGCCTCTTCCGCTGCCGGGACTCCTCAACGTCCTCCTCCTGGTCGGCTAACTTCACCTGTTGGCCTTCCTGCCCGGCCTATAATGCATGCCTGGTCTCCCCGAGCATGTTGTCAAACTCCAGGGTCTCTATATCAAAATAGATCTCCCGAGAGTGAATGGGAATGTTTGTCCCTTGCTGGGATTGAGCCAGCTGCTCATCTTGAGGGGGCTGTTGACCGGAGGGTTGTTGGCTGAGTGGCTGGATGGTGGAGGGTCCTTCGACATCCTCAATGTGTGGGATGGAGAACTTGGAGTTGAACTTCACCACTGCAACAAGAAGAAAAAGCAAAGGAACCGGTTAGTGGAAAGTCATGGAAAATAAATAAAAAAGAATAGTCACATAAAGGAAAAGAAGTAGGAAGGGACCTTTCTCCTTCTTCTTCCCCCGGCGAAGGGAACCGGTGGCAGCAGTGGAGCCCTAGGCGGTGGAGCCTTGGACGCGGTGGAGAGGGATCGCGTCTGGGATCACATCTCCCTGAACGATCTCGGGCTCCAATCCAGTCTCTGAACCCGGGTAGACACCCCACTTCCCGACATTGTAAGGACCGCGGGTGGAGGCGTCCCCGGCTCGGAGTTTGGCCTCCTAGGCGGCCTGGTCATCGGTCTCCCTAGGCTTGACCTGGACCTTGAGTTTTTTCCCCCCAGGCATTTTGGGCGAAAGGGAAGTCGCCAGGGGGAAACTTGATGGAGACGTACTTTTCTTTCCAGCCCCTGTTGGAAGGAGGGAGACCAGAAAGAAAAGCCCGGCCCTGGTGAGAGGACACAATCACGAATTCAAGGGTTTCCTTGGACCCGGGCCAGACGTCGAACATATGGTCAAAGAGACGGAGGGAGAGGGGGATGCAAAGGAATTGACAGAAATTGATAAAACTGCTCAGCATACGGTGACCATTTGTGGTCAACTGCCCGGGCATGATCCCGTATGTCTCAAAGAAGAGGACTTTGAAGGGGTGAATGGAGAATTCACCCGAGTTCTTGATGGAATGGTAGTGGATTCCAATTGTCGTACTAGCATGGAGGGAAATAATATTCTTCCACGTTGCCCGGTAAGACAATTGGTAACCTTCCGGAAGAAGGTTGCGGAGCTTGTGGACTTGAGCTCTCTGCATGAAGGACGGCTGCTCCAAGAACAACTGGTCATCGACCAGAACAAAACCCTCATCCATGGGCCGGGCTACCGAGACCACTTGTTCTGCAGAAGTAGAAAGGGCACAAGTAGAGGCGTCGACCGGCTTCTCCTGTTGAGAAGTAGCTGGGCGTTCAGAAGAAGAAGAAGACTGGGAATTAGAGGTCTGAGACCGGCATCAGAACCATAAGAATGGACAGAAGGGTTCTGATTGTCCTCGTTCTCAGACATGACTCAAAGAAATGAAGAGGGGAAAAGAAGACTTACTTGAAACTAGAAGACTCAAAGGACTCAAGAGACAGTAGTAGCAACCGTGCAGTTTTTTGGATAGCGAATTGCAAGTGAAGAAATTGGTGGGGAACCTTGCTTTATATAGGGGAGGTTCCGCCCAGCCAAACCAATGGGAGAGCAACACGTGGCAGCTGAAATGATTTGTAATGATAACTTCTCAGGGAGACGAAACAACGCGACAAATTGGGGTGTCGTACCGGATTCCAATAAGGATTTCCCTGCCTTTAGCGCTCGAGATTTCAAAATTCAAAATTCAAATATATTTGGCGCCGGTTTTCAACTAATATTTTCCCACCCAAAACAGCCCGGGGACTTGAAATTTGAAAAACGGCTTGTATATGCTTCTCGCCACTGATGGTACCAACAGAGCCCGGAACCGGAGGACTCCTTGATGGGTAATAACCCATTGATTTCACCCGGTAGGTTCGTACCGACCGAGAGGTGTCAAATCTAGCGCCCTGTGACTTGGTCAACTCGGGCAGTCTGATCGGTCATGGGTGAGAAGATTCGGAATCACAGACATGGCTTCATGTAACACCTTAATCCGTCCATGTCTGTAAAACACACTACACGCTCAGCGGTAAAGCTGAGTAAGCATATCTAATGCGTCGAACATCCATATAAACTGAATCTAAATTCATAATCAAATCATTTGATATCATGCACACAATGTTCATTTCAAACATTCACATTTTTGGTATTGTTCAGTTCATATCAACACATTTTATTCAATTCAGATACTATTTCAATAGTGCTCTTAAATTATTCTTAGTCTAAGGCCAGATCATAATAACGCTCTTAGCTATTCTTAGTCTAAGGCCAGATCATAATAACGCTCTTAGCTATTCTTAGTCTAAGGCCAGATCATAATAATGCTCTTAGCTATTATTAGTCTAAGGCCAAATCATAATTTCCATAACCAGATTCTTTTAAGACAATTATTAATCAGACACTTAAACTATCATTAGTTTAAGGCAATTGATTTCGGACACTTAATTGTAGTCAGATAAGGCAATCAAACACTTAAACTATCACTAGTTTAAGGCAAATGATTCGGACACTTAACTGTAGTTAGTTAAGGCAACAACAATATAGCGATTGATCAACATTGGATCGGGCATTCCCAAACGAGTAATCCTCTAGTTTGTTCTACGAATCCCATTTATACATTTTTATCTAATTCATCAAATATTTATGTTTTCATAAGTCTATTCTAATACAAGATCTATTCTAGAGGTGATGGTGTAAATTACCTAACCGGGTAAACTATACTAGACCGGGTCTAAAACAGTTCACTTGACTTGATAAAGTAAAAAGATAAAAACACTCAAATATGACCGGGAAGACTTTAGGTGGAAACACCTGTAGCCCAATTGATATTAATATAAGAGAATGCACGGGTGTTCTTACAGGGGAGTTTAGAGAGAATGAATTCTGATCCCCACTTCTGAGGATTACACCAGTATTTATACTAGGTTAAGGGGGGACATAGTATCATGCAGCCACGTTCAGGCACGTTCTCGGATGGTGAGAGGTGATGGGCTTCGTCCTCTAGCTGCCTTGTCGCCTTGTGAGGAAGATTACTTCCTCTGTCAGGTAGCGCCTTGGATGGAATGTTCAAGCATCTCCAGCGATTCTCCACTGATCTTGGTCGCTACGGTCCAAACCACTTTGGATTCTTTTCTGCCGACGCTTCCCAACCCTAGAAACTACACCGGGTAGTTTCCCAAGGATAAGTTTACCGTGTTTGAGGAATGAATGAGGCAATGGAGTAATTTGATCGGTATAATATCCGAAGTGTACCGGTCAAATTTTTAGTCAATCGGGCCTCTTTTTATTGTCGATTAAGGTCTCTCCTCCAAGTATAATAAGCTTGACCGGTCAACTATTTGGCCATTTATTTTGACCGGTCTTGGGTGGAATACACCCATCAAGACGTCTTCTAGATAGCTTCAACATCAATTAACTAATGGGTATATCTTAGAGTTCTTCTAGATACCGTTAACAATACAAATCGTTTACTAATTATCAATATATTCATTTAACCCATGGTTCAATCATAAATAATTATTTTTATCAGTATAATCATCCATAATAATCATTCATCATAATCATCAATCAACATAAGAATTGATAACAAATAGCGGTCTAGTTTTGAGTGTTAACACCCAAACTTACCGTCATGCATCACATATCATTTTTATTTGTTAAAAACATCATTTTTATTGTGAAAAATCATTTTTATAATGATCATAATGAGTTGGTATCAAAAATAGGATTTTAGAGCTCAAAAATAGCAATTTCAGGCAAATTTTCAGATCAGAACTTCGGGGGATCGATCCAGCCCTCTGAATCAATCCATAATGTGAAAATATCTTCCCAGAGGATCGATCCAAGCCTTAGGATTGATCCAGAAAGTGTTCTTCAGCTTATTGTTCACCTTCTTCAACCTTCGACCCATTTTTCGGAAATCTCCTTTTTAGTCATCGAACTTCAACGAAACTATATAGAGATGTTCTCCAAGGTTCATAGATCATTTTGGTATTATTAATTCATAGTTTTAACATCATTTTCATGGGTTATGATTCTTGATTCTTCAAGCATGTCAAACACAAAACTCAACCAAACGATCGTTTATGAACGTAGAAACGATCTATACGAACATTCTAGTCATTAGATATATCTACGGGCTTACCTCGAAGCTTATCGAAGGTTTTGAGAATTTTCCGGCGAAACTTCCGGCGACGATTACTCCCAACTCTGGCGACTTCAGCGGCAACCAACAACCCCAGATTGCTCTCCTCACTCTCAAGATTCTTATGGGATAATTTTCAGGAAATTGTGTAGAATTGAGAGAGATGAAAACATCCTTTTATAGTAGTGTGGGGAAGGAAGCTGCCAAGCTGAGCTGAGTCAGTGATGCGTAGAGTTTCCTTAGTGCGTAGGACCAATTTTGGTTCTAGTCGGGATACACTTTGTGGTCCAATTTTCTCCAAATTGAATTCCGTTTGCACCGCTGCGATCAGGTAGTTATACTCTATCTAACTATATAATTTTTATATTTATTTGTAATACTTTTTCCGACATCATATTTTTGGGTGTTTGACTTTGACAGAATCAAAATTGGTTTAATTGACTTTTCTCATCAAAGGTTCTCTCATTTAATTCATATCAATTATTCTCATGATTTATTTTAAGAAATCATTTCAATATTTACATTCTAAACAAATTCTTTATTTACTCTTGATTTGGGTCTGTACTCAGGTTCCCAATCAAGACCACACAAATAGTCCACATACTGGATTTATCTCTATGAGACTTATCTAGATTTTGATATTGGATGTCAAAACACATTTCATATCGGCCCAAAGCCCAACAATAATTTATTTTAATAAAAACAAATTTGATTAATTGATTATTTATTCATTAATAATTCTAGGGTATGTTTTGGGGCGTTACATTTCTCCCCCTTAAAGGAATTTCGTCCTCGAAGTTCTTATAAGGTTCAACGTTCAATGTTTCGTAATGATCTCACTGATCATGACCGTTTCATATTCACATGGTTATGTCGTTATGTTTCAGATATGTATTCTCAATTCATTGATTTCACCAAACTCGTTCAATCTTCGAGAGATTTAGAATTTTCGATTAAGCAAGGTCTTCACTGATCCTTTGGTATTGATGACAAAAGTTCCTTCATAGTTTATAGTATTGCATACTTGACATATAACTTCATTCAGTTACGAGTCTTATCTATACGTGCTTGGTTAACAGGATCGATTGAAAATTTCCTCAATACTCTTAAAAGGTCTATGATAAGCACATTTAGAGGTTGTTTCAATTCATACGTCGTAACGTAGTCTCTCAAGTTACTCAAGGGGTCATTGTCTTTAGGGCAATAGCCATTTTGACTTTTCATCTTGGATTTGAACATATTTCAGGACAGCGAATCTAACTGTTCATGAGTCTCAATATGTCATATTGTAAGCAGACTGTAGCTTTAACGAGCACGTCCTCGTTTGTAGGTAAATAAATCCATCTTTGCTATACAAATTTTGACGGAGGATAATTCCCCTTTTTCTCAAAGGTCAGATTTCAGGGCCTATATATATCACAATTGTGGCAAGAGTATCCTACATTCTCACATTATGGAAGGAACTTCTCAAACTTTTCTTTACACCATAAAATTCATTGGTCTACTTGGTAGTCATGCTCTTGGTAGAAATCCAAAGTTCATGGCTAGATCGTAGATTTAGGAAGGGAATTGGTAAGGCAAAAAATTAGGCTTACCTATGGAGGAGGAAACGTTGGCCTTCAAGGAGCTGTTGCTTCAACAGTCTGTACCAATGGTGGTATAGTTAGAGGCTTCATACCAGGGTACATAGCAGCACGAAAGGTCTACGAACCGACATATGGTGCAAAGTACACCGTTTCCAGCAATTACTACAAGTATTTCAAGATGAATCATGTTGTAGAGGCTTTCATCATATTTCCTGGAGGGATTGATACTATGGAAAGTTTGTTCACTTTGATCTCATGGGCATCCGAAGGGTTGCACAGTAAACCCATTGGTCTCTTGAACATTGATGGTTATTTTAATAAGCTAATCAAATTTCTAGATGACGCGGTGAGGCAGAACTTCATGGCTTCCAGTCAGAGAAAACTGTTGGCCTTGAATGCCGTACCCCGTAACCGTTTTGATGTGCCAAATAAGTCTTCGAAATGTTACTAACATCATTTGCAGGAAAAACAAACGCCAAAACCTCTATTAGCTTGTTTAGCATCACCGAGATATACTCCTACGAGTTTAGAAATTGTTGTGTAGAGGTAATGATATATTTTAATGAGTTACTTATGCCCTTTCACTCAAAATTTAATTTTAAAATGACAAATATATTCTTAGTTGGGGTTATTTTGAAAACGGAACACGAAAAACGAGTTTTGGAATTTTTACACAGGCCTAACGGTACCTGGCTACCGTATACACGACACCAGGGGACTGCTGGTAGCGTAGTGAACGTACCGGGTACGTTTCACTCAGGAGGTACACGGTACCCCCCCTACCGTGAGACGATACCTGGATACCGTACAGTAGGCTGAACCGGCTGGGTACCCCCGTCCTAACAGGTACCGCCAGTAGCGAACCTAACTTTTGGCCTACACGGTACCCCCAAACGGTAGGCTGTACCGTGTGTCACGGTACCTAGGTACCGGACGGTACTGACCCTACCATGAAGGGTACCGGATCCGTTGGCAGCACTGTAGCAAATTGTCAATTTAAATTCAAATCACCCCTAATCACTTCCTAACGGCATTTAACATTAAAAACTCAAATTTTAACATTCCAAACTCCTATATAAACCCCCTCTAAGTCTCATTTTATGAATAACAACTTCTCAATTAAATCTAAAGCCTCTTTCTCTAATTCTTGAGTGTTCTTAAAGCTTTGTTTTTATTTTTCTTACTCTTTTGAGTAAAAAGCTTTCATCTTTTTATACACTCACACACAAGGGCATTTGTGCTTCATTATTTTATATCTTGCCTATAGGCTTTTGTTGTTGTTGATTTAATCTTTTGTTCTTCTCCTACCCAATTCATATTTGTTATTATTTTGGTAGAGAAGCAACACAAATCTTTTATTGATTTGTAAAAGGTGTGGATAGCCTTTAAATCCTCATTGTAAGGTTGAAGATAGCCTTAAAATCTTCGGTTGTAAACGGTTGAGATAGCCGTAGTAAAATCTCGTTTGCTTATTGGCAAGGGTTGTTTGCCAAACCTCATTTGAGTCTTCTTAGTGAAGCCAAACAAGTTAGTGGAGGTTAAATCCTTGAGGAGGAGCCTCGAGGTACTGGAGTAGGGAGTTCCCGAACCAGTATAAAATCGCTTGTGTCGTATTTTTATATTTTATGCGCATAAGTTTTTGTTTTTATTAAAAATTTGCAAACACCCTAATTCACCCCGCTCTTAGGGTGTAAACCGACTTTCAATTGGTATCGGAGCAGGAAGTTTGATCCTTTCACACTCATCTTTTATTTCTTTTTACGACACATGGATTCAATGAACTCCCAAAGCATTACCAAGCCACCATTCTTCAATGGGGATAACTATGGCTATTGGAAAATGCGAATGGAGAATTTCATTCAATCTATTGACTATGATTTATGGATAGTCACTACTCATGGTCCGTTTGTTCCTATGACAACTGTAGGTGAACACCAAGTTCCTACTC